CTACAGATACTTGACATTTTGACAAAGAAGCTAAAACCATACAATGAAAAAAAGACAGCATCTTCAAAAAATGGTACTAGCCTAACTGGATGTCTACATGTAGAAAAATGCAAATAGATCCATATTTATCACCCTGCAAAAAACTAAAGTCCAAATGGATCAAAGACTTCAACATAAAGCCAGACACACTAAATTGGTTAGAAGAAAAAGTGGAGAAGAGCCTAGAACTCATTGGCACATGAGACAACTTCCTGAACAGAACACCAACAGCACAGGCTCTAAGAGCAAAAATCAATAAATGGGACCTCATGAAACTGAAAAGCTTCTGTAAAGCAAAAGACATTGTCATCAGAACAAAACGACAGCCTACAGACTGGGAAAGGATCTTCACCAACCCTATATCTTGACAGAGGACTAATATCCAGAATATATAAAGAACTCAAGAAGTTAAAAAGCAGCCTATCAAGTAATCCAATTAAAAAATGGAGAACAGAGCTAAACAGAGAATTCTCTGTAGAGGAATATAGAATGGCAGAGAAACACTTAAAGAAATGCTCAACATCCTTACTAATCACGGAAATGCAAATCAAAATGACCCTGAGATTTCACCTTACACCCATCAGAATGGCTAAGATCAAAAACTCAAGTAAGGATTGGGAGAAAGGGGAACTCTCCTCCATTGCTGGTGGGAATGTAAACTTGTACAACCACTTTGGAATTCAATCTGGCGCTTTCTCAGACAATTAGGAATAGTGCTTCCTCAAGATCCAGCTATACCACTCCTAGGCATATATCCAAAATATGCTCAAGTACAGAACAAGGACATTTGCTCAACCATGTTTGTAGCAGCTTTATTCATAATAGCCAGAACCTGGAAACAATCCAGATGTCCCTCAATGGAGGAATGGATACAGAAATTGTGGTACATTTATACAATGGAATACTACTCAGCAATTAAAAACAAGGAAATCGTGAAATTTGCAGGCAAATGGTGGGAACTAGAAAAGATCATCCTGAGTGAGGTATCCCAGGAGCAAAAAGACACAAACAGCATATACTCACTTATAAGTGGATATTAGATATATAATATAGGATAAATATACTAAAATCTATATACCTAAAGAAGCTAAGCAAGAAGGAGGTCCCTGGGTAAGATGATCAATCCTCACTCAGAAATACAAATGGATGGACATTGGAAGAAAGAAAAAACAGGAAACAGGACGGGAACCTACCACAAAGGGCTTCTCAAAGACTCTACCCTGCAGTGTATCAAGGCAGATGCTGAGACTCATAACCAAATTTTGGGCAGAGTGCAAGGAATCTTATGAAAGAAGGTAGGGATAGTAAGACCTGGAGAGGACAGGAGCTCCATAAGGAGAGCAACAGAACAAAAAACTCTGGGCACAAGGGACTTTTCTGAGACTGATACTCTAACCAAAGACCATTCATAGATATAACCTAGAACCCCTGCTCAAATGAAGCCCATGGCAGCTCAGTTTCCAAGTGGGTACCCTAGTAAGGGGAACAGGAACTGTCTCTGACATGAACTCAGTGGCTGGCTCTTTGATCACCTCCACCTGAGTGGGGAGCAGCCTTGCCAGGCCACAGAGGAGGACAATGCAGCCAGTCCTGGTGAGATCTGATAAACTAGGGTCAGATGGAAGGGGAGGAGGACCTCCCTATCAGTGGACTTGGAGAGGGGCATGGGAGGAGATGAGGGAGGGAGGATGGGATTGGGAGGGGATGAGGGAGGTGGCTAAATAAACTGTAATTAATATGAAAAATAAAAATTTAATTTAAAAAATGATACACTTTGGGGTGGAGCTTACTCAGTTGTAGATAACTGTCATATCTAAGTGGGTTGCTCCCACTTATAATCTCAGCATCCTAGAGACTGAAGCAGGATATCACCACAGGTTCCAGACCAACCGGGGCTACAGAGTGAGACCTTGTCTCAAAAGAAATAAAGGGGGGGCACCATATTAACAAATCTTTTTAGATGGATGTGTACCTCGTTAGAAAACTCTCAAATGTAAAGAAAACATCCCTGGCCTTCTGGGTGCAGGAGCAGCCAGTCTGTAAAGAAAAGCATGCTTCCATTTCAGTTTTCCACTGCACATATCTAGATGACCCATTTGGCTCTATGGAGACCGCCAATTAGGTTACCCAAATCATTGGTGAAGTCGCCCCACAGTGAGCCCTGTGGCCTGATGTCTATCGCAAGCAGACCCCTTCAGCTGCACAGTTACCTTCAACTTAAAGATAATGTCTGTAACCGAAGCGAGAGAAAGCGGAAGAGACATATGGCTTATGAAGCTTCATACATGTGAGACACAAGGCAAACATTTTACATATCCCTTTCTCTAAGCTCACCATCGCCCTTAGAATAAGGTTGCTATCATTCTCAACTGTTTGAGAGATGAGGAATCTAAAGTGCAAAAAGGTTAACTTTCTGAAGATCACGCAAAAAGCTGGTGACGAGGTCTAGCATTAAAACACATGTCTGCCTGATTGTTCTACCTAAGTATTTCTTTGACAAGAACGTGTCTGTTGTAGGAAGAGAAAGAGCACTGCCCAAGAATTATCATGTGCTTACTATAAAGGGCGTCTAACCACCTAAACAATTCACAAGGTGTTTTCCACCATACCAAACTACAGATACACTGGTAACAGGTTGGCCCTTGATCTTAGCAGAGCAGTGGAATAAGAATCATTTAGGGAGGCCTGGAGAAATAGCTCAGGGGTTAAGAGTACTGGCTGTTCTTCTGAAGGTCCTGAGTTCAAGTCCCAGTAGACCACAGGGTGGCTCACAACCATTAATGAGATCTGGTGCCCTCTTCTGGTGTGTAGGCATACACGCAGGCAGAATGCTATATAAAAAATAACTTTCTAAAAAAAAACTAAGTGTGGTTTCCTTTTTCATTTCTTTCTTTTTAAGATTTATTTTATTATGTATATGTTGTGGGTTATTAATATTTATTATTGATATATCTTTTAGTTAAGCAGCAGTTATTCCTAATTCAGCAGTATACCCAAATCACCACACAGAGACTGGGACTTATTTAATTAACCTAGAGCACAATTCTGGCAATAGTTCCTCCATCTTAAACCTCCAAGCCCACATAGTTTCCTGCCATTCAGGTTTCACCCATCATACTTGCTTTTAATTATATCTTATGTCCAGTTCATCTCTCCACGTGGTTCCAAGACCTCTCTGTGGATTCTCTGCTCCTCCATTCTTTGCTTCCTCCTCTTCCCTCCCCCTCCCCCTCCCCACCAGTATGTCCCACCCTATTCTCTCCATTGCACAACATTGTGGCTGATTGTTTTAACTGACAACACAGAGAACAAATGGTAGCATGTTTACACAAACTTGAGACAGGTGGTGCTTAGAATAAGTATCACAATGCTCTGTCTGGATTGAAACCAGATAGGGGATAGAGAAATCAGCATTTGAATGAACAAGGATAAATTGTATACATTTCCACAAGAACAATATACCAGTGGGTATACAATGTTCTGTCTGGATGTACACCTGGTGCCAGGAGAGGGCGCCTGATCGCATTATAGATGGGTGCGAGCCACTATGTAGTTGCTGGGAATTGAACTCGGGAACTCGGGAAGAACAAGCAGCGCTCTTAACCTCTGGGCCATCTCTAAAGTCCAATAAATAACTCTTAAAAAAATCCTCAAGGGAAAGCTAGTCTCTGAAAAGTATATTTTGGTATGTAAGTCAAACCTGTAACGTATTCCTGTTTTATACAAATAGGAGTGGGCCTTTTCTTAAAAAAAAAAAAAAAGATTTCTTTATTATGTACAGTATTCTGCTTACATGAGCTCTAATAATAGATGGTCATGAGCCACCATGTGGTTGCTGGGAATTGAACTCAGGACCTCTGGGAAAGCAACCAGTGATCCTAACTTCTGAGCCATCTCTCCAGCCCAGGAATGGGCCTTGATTTTCCTTTTTTAAAAAATTATAGACAATTTAATTATTTTATATAAAGGCAATTTATAGCTTGTGAAAAGTTCATGAGGCAGTATCCTTAAAGTTAGTTGCATTTGTAAATCTCTTAGGTGTTTACAAAATACTTCAAAGTGGGCTTTTATTTGCAATTTCTGTAACAACAACCCTGGCCAAATGCAAGTCTTTCAGGCCCTTGCAACTTGGTTCTTGAAAAAGAAAACCTTTTTTAAAATATAACTTCTGTTCTTTGCATCCAACACATACAATGCATTTCTAACCTATTTCACTCACAACTTCTCTGGGGTCCGCCTCTGCCCTCCCTCTTTCACCCCCCAACTTCAATGTCATTTTTTTTTCTTCTTCTTATAACCTACTAAGTTCAATCTGTGCGGCCCATACACCTGAGTGTAGAGCCCATCCACTGGCACAGGAGACCCCTCCTCCTCCAGTAGCCATCAGCCGACACTATCTCCTTAGCGGGGGCGAGGGGGTCATGAGCACCTCCGCCATCCGTGCTAGAATGTCGAGTGGCTTGGTCTTTGTAGGCAGCCACGCTGCTGTCTCCCGCACTGGACCTGTCGCGTCAGTCCTCCCTGATCCCTGGCTCTTCCGCTCTTTCCGCCCCTCTTTGGGATTTTTTTTAAACAGACATTGAGTTGCTGCTCCACACAGCGCACATTGCCAGACACTGTGGAGAAATAAATAGCTGAAGACACTTAGGCCTTTGGCCACTGAGAAGAGTGATGGGCAATTGGTATAGATGGATAACCTCAGTGTGAGTGTCTCACAAAGTTCCAGAGGGACTGGGGCACACGCAGGGCTGAGCACAGAATGCACCAGACCAAAGAATCCAGCTGCTTGATTGTGCTCCAGCCCTGTGGACGATGCTACATCTGGGGAGGAACAGCAGGCAGGATAGAAGAGGCAGTCTTAAGTCCCAGAGTCAGCACAGGGAGAGGCGTAAGATGGAGCTGACCCACCTTCCCTGTGTCTGCTTGCTCTTCAGGTCTAGTCTTAGTGGCCAACCAGAACCATGGACAGCGCTGAGAAAGGCGGTAAAAAGTTTATGCCAGATGGAATACCAAGAGAAGGAAAGCAGCTGCCTCCCTTCGAGGCTTATCTCGACTACCAGTAAGTCTGCAGTCTGGATCTAAAAGCTGCCCCTTGCAGATACACTGTTAAGATTTAAGTAGCTGCACGTGGGAGCGGCGGAGCTCAGCACTGCCAAGAAAATGATCAGAGACCTCATACCCTTGTGCCCCGTGCACAGGCTAAGCAGTGTATGGGAAACAGCACTCCTTGATGTGGTTTTGGCTCCCTCCATTGTCTCGTGTCCCTTTCTATTAGACAGCAGCTTGCTGGCTCACCTACCTCTTGAAATACATTGTGGAATAGTTATGTAGTTGAGAATGGGAGGGGGCGTTTCCCTCTATTTGCCTTTCTGTTCTTTTTTGCATTTGTAAGATATTCCAGCTTGTATTGTTCATAAATGACTACATATCAAACCCAAGCAATTTAGAGGTATGTGCATATGCGTGTGCATGCCTGTGTGTGTGTGTGTGTGTGTGTGTGTGTGTGTGTGTGTGTGTGTCTGCGCATGCAAAATCTAGATGACAACACTGTCTACCTTGGTTTTTTGGGTTTTTTGGGTTTTTGGTTTCAGTTGGGGTTTTTCTTGTTTTTGTGGGGGTTTTGTTTGTTTGGTTTTGGTTTCTGAGGCAATCTTTGACCTTGAACTCTTGACAATATTCCCCCCTCTGTCTTTTAAGTTCTGAAATTATGGACTTGTACCACAACTCCTGACTTAAAATTGTTTTAAATAATGAGAACATTTCATAATGCTTCACTTCTAAAAGGTGGAGATGTCTTATTTCAACAAATAGCCTCTTGAGAACTTGTAAATGTCAAATTTTGGCACCGGGTAGGTGTCCTAATGTGTCACTTGCAGAGAATTTGTGAAGAAGTATTAGTAAATTTCCAAATAAGAATGAAATAATTCATGTTTTCATTCAACAAATATTTGCACATTTGTCACGTACAAGACAAGTGTTGGGCCCAGAACACAGCAGTAAACAGAAACACATGGCCCCTGCTGTGGTGAAACACGGGAGACAGCCAAGCAGAAGAGGAGGAAAGGACTTGACCTAGTCAGAGCGTTTGGAGACGCTAGGGTGAGGAAGGCATGTGAGTCAGTCTCTGGAAGAAGGCTATTATGGAAAGACACCACGCTGTGAAAAAGCACATCATAGTTGAGAAAGCGACAGACATCAGAATGAAGGACAGAGGACAGACGCGGGTGGCTTACGAACCAGAGCAAGCAGAGCACTGGGACAAGGGGAAGGAAACCATTTAGTGGAAGGTTGGAAGGTTGGAGGCGGGACCCTGTGATGCTATTGACTATGTCTGTAATAAGAAAATTTTCCTTTTAACAGTCAGGGAAAGTCCCTCCCCTCCTATAGAAACTCTTACTTGTGTTCGAATCTCGTTAGAAGGCAGGGAGAAAAACAGTCAGAATCCTAGTAAAGAGACAGCCACGGGGAGAGCAATTACTTGAGGTCCCCATAAGTGCTGGCCAGGCACCATCCTCATGTGTAAAAGCGTGATTGCAATCCTTCCCTCATAAGCATGTAGACAAGCCAGGCTCTGCGAACACAGCCTGGTCTCTCACTGTTCCAGGGTTTGTGATGACATTCAGCTACAGCCGTCTTTTCTTGGGGCTGACGGAGACCAGTCTTTTTTCCTCTTTCACAGAGACTTACAAGGAGGCAAACGCTCCAAGTTTCTCAAGAGCTGGTGATTGACATAAAATGATTATTCCCATGCCTGTGCGCACTGTCATTTGTTAAAAATGAACTTAATAATCCCGTGGACTACAACGGCCAAAGGTTTGCTGGCCTGTGCTCTGCTGGAGACCGTTCACTTACTCTGGGTGTCCCCTGTAACAGAACTTTTGTCACATGGCACGTAGCCACATGCCTTCTCTCATCAGCTAAGGAAGGATTGTCCTGGCAACATTTTCTATTCCTCATTCTGACCCATGCTGTAATAAAGCAGTAATCACACAGTAGATAGTGATTCCTGGTTTCTGAGCAGCTGAATTATAAAAAAAAAAAATTATCCAAGGAAAATGAGACTATTGAGGTTTTCTGGTTGTGAGTACAGAAAGGAGTCTTAATACCTATGTTAAACCTATGTAGCTATCATCTCTCAGTAACGATTCCTATTTTCTCCTTTATACCTAGCTTTCCTACATTGAGTATAGATTAGCTAGAGAAATGGGTGTGTATACGGTTATAAATTTAAGAAACAGAAAATACAAATAAAGATGCTGAAAGCAAAGATTGTTTGGATGGGTAGTTTATGGGTTTGTCTTTATATGGAGCAGGTAGTTTAAACACTGAGAGCTGAGATGAAGGAAAACACCAGAAGGTGATTTCCGCTTGGGTCTCCCTCCACAAACCCAGAACACTGGGTTTTCTAGGTCTGTTTCTGCGGTGCCCAGTATGGCTGGTACATAGTGTAAACTCGGGGTTTATTTCTCAAGTAATAATCACTGCTGAGTCCTAGCTGAGTGTAAATTCACACTTGCGGAGTTAGAGCTAAGATACTGCTTTAGTTAGTGATGTAGGAACTAAAAATCTAAAGCATTCAGCCAAGTGCTCGGATGCCCACCATGAATTAAGTGCTTTCTTGCCTACTGGTGAGTGCTCACTCCCAGCAGCTGCTACCGTAGCCCTACTGTGTGACGGGGCAGTTCCACGGAAACAAGCACTCCGGTGCAAAAAAACAAGGCCACGAGCCTCCCTGAAACATTACTGTTTGAAGAGCTGATACTGGAGATGCCGTAAAGCGATTGTTTCTAGGGATTTTTGTTTGTTTGTTTTCTCCTTCACACTTTTTCCTTGGCTTTCTACAATGAAATTAGCTGGATAGAGGTTTGGGTATGATTGTGAGGTTTTTTGGTTTTTTTAATATATATATATAGAAAAGTATAGAATAGTTTGAAATTCAAGTTTACCTTCTGAGTCATTAGATTAATTAGCTGATGTATTTACTTAGTTCCAAACTGTTTATTTCTACACACTAATTTTTAAATACATCTTGGATAAAATGTACAATAAAGATACTTGAATTTTAAAAAGTTATCTTTTTAGGGCTGGAAAGATGGCTCTGGGGTTAAGAATACTTGCTGTTCTTCCAAAGAACCTAGGTTCAATTCACAGTGCCCATATGGTAGCTCCCAACCATCTGTAACTCCAGCTCCAGGGAATCTGACCTCCCCTCTGGCCTCCCCGGGCACCAGGTTCACATGCCTGCAGGCAAAACATCCATACACACAAAACACCCGTACACATAATATAAAAATGTAAATAATTTTGTAAAGTTTATCATTGTCCTCAAATATCCACTGCTATTTCATGGAGGAGAGAATCTGTATATCAGTGACATTTTAAAGGTATGAAGGAAAGCAGTGAGCGAGCACATAATACCACTTTGCTTTGTGATAGCGCTGGACCTTTAAGATGGCTGCAGGAGCCAGGCATGGTGATGCATGCCTTTAGGCTCAGCACTATGGAGGCCGAGGCAGCAGCCTACAACCAAAACTACACAGAGAAGCCCTGGCTTGAAAAAAATAATCGCTGACTGTAATATGTATAGGTGTATTTTCCCATGCTTTAGCCCTCTGCATGACACAGAAGATACTGAGGCATTCGTGGGGGACAGATAAGAGGAGGAGGTATTAGGAAACAATGAAGACAAGTCCGCATAACAGCCAAGAGTGGGGAGTTGTGAAGTTAAACTTCAAAGCTTTCCAGGTCAGGAAACCCAGATGTCCAAAATTAAACCTGCAATTGCCGTTACTTCCACAAGGGGGCGGCAAAAGCCAGAACTGTTCTGAATTCTCCAAGAACTGTTGATGGTAGATAGGTCATCCTGAACATGGCTCCCTGCAGGATGAGCATGAGGCCAAACCCTCGGCCATTTGCTCCTAAGTGCTCAGAGGTTAGAGGTTTTATACATCTTTTTCAGATGTGTAAAAATACAAGATGAACAGTTAAATTGGAATTTCAGGTGAACAGAGAACATTTTTAGTGTATGTACATCTTCAGCAGGACCTGGTTTGGGGTGGATGTGGGCTCAGGTTTGCTCTCTGAGTGTTCAGTCATCATCAGGGAAGGTTCTTGTCTGTGGCCAGGGAGTCACTCTTTCTAAGTCCATCAAGTCCTCAGTCTGAACAATCGGAGACAACATGCTTGAGCTGTGAAGAGCTCTATATTACAGAAATTATGGGAGTAGCCTCCACCGTTCAAATACCTTACAGTATTTTCATTTTATTCATAAAAATGGGAGCTTGAGGTCTGGAGGGACAGCTCAGTGGCAGACCACTTGTGTAATATGAAGGAGGCCCTGGGTTCAGGTGCTGCTAACAACACACACACGCACACACACGCTCCCGCACACACAGATGTCCATCAGGCATCTTGCCACTCCTGATCTTTTTATAGAAAAATAAGCCAAGGCCAAAAGCAGTTACGGGTACTATGCAGTCAGCGGAATGCAGGACTGAATCAGCGGTCTTGGTGTTCAAATGGACTTCTTTTTGAGTAGGGCCAGGGTGTGATTTGCTAACTTTATTCCACATTTTCTCATCTTAAGGGAGGAAGGAGCCTTTTTTTTTTCTCTCTTCTGACTACTCAAGCTCATAAATATAATGAGGTTTTAGAGAGAGTGTTAATAGTATCAGATCCAACAAGAGTTTATGAGCCCTCTGAGTGCGTCCTTCCTGAGTGACTTCCTATTTTATGCCACATAGTAACACATAGCACTGGGTGAGGGTTTATCTAACAGATTGAAATTTTAGGTCCTGAGCTTCGATTTGCCTGCAACCCAGGAGGCAAGAAATCGTAAAAAGCAAGATTTAAAACTGCATATACTATTTCTATAACATACTTTGAGCTCAGGCTTATAGAGTTCCAAGATTTACTCCCTTTTCAGAAACATGGAATGCACAAGCACCTCAAAACAGCTCTCAATTACCCTGCACCTGAGCCTTCCTTTTTCTGTTTTTCCCCTGAACAGGTGGTCAACAAATACTCATTATATGTTAAGGAAATGTCTTCTTGACAGGGAGGAGAACACGCGCCAATGAGCGTGACCTGGTGGGCACGGGCAGGTTGCCTTAGCAACCCGGATACACTTGCTCTCAGACAGTCTTGGTGTTCCTTTGGGTTTTGGTCTGAATGCTTTTAGAATTCTGATGCATCTCTGGCTGAGAATATCTAAAAGCATGTTTTCTCTGTGCTCTCTCCTAGGTTTTCTTTAAGATGGATTATAGAGAATTAAAACATAAATCACACATATAATATAAACATAATTTTTAAGCCTGAAACACTCAGTATTATTTTTAATGAGTTATATATAGCTATATATAATAATTATATCTATAATGAATGGCGTATAGAGAATTAAAACATAAATTGCATCTGTGAAATAAAAACGGGATTTTTTTTTTTAAGTTTGAAATATTCTCCCAGTATATTTTAATGAATTAAATAGGTCAAAAACACTAGCTCTTCTTTGTTCCCAGCACTTGGGAGCCAGGAGTATGAGCTCTTTGAGTTCAAGGCCAACCTGGTCTAGACAGTTCCAGGCCACTCAGGGCTGCATAGTGAGAGCCCATCTCAAAAACGAACAAATAAAAGCCCCGCAAAATTTCATAGAGGAGCTGTTTATCCCGAAATCAACTTTTGGAGGTATTCGATAATTTCGTCTAAAATTCACATGTAGCCTCCTTCGTCTTCCCTGAGGTAACTAACCCGCCCGTCTCTGTTTCTCCTCAGGCGCGACTTAAAGGAGAATGCAGTGGAGCGGGCCATGGTTCAGATCAGGAAGCTGAAGGAAAAGAACCAGAAGTTCCAAGAAAGGGTGAGCGCGAGGTGGGCGGTAGGCAGGCTCGGAGCATGCCGAGTGCGTTGACGATGGAATGGTGATGGAGCAGGGCTTACAAACTGATCGGGCTTCTTCACACTCGCGGGGCGAGCGGGCGCTACAGTCTCCACGGTACTGAGAGTCGGCGGAAGTCAGATGAGTCGTGTTCCTTAGACCAGGAGGATGGATATCCTAAAAACCCTGGCTGCCTTCTGACTTCCTGTTTAACCAAACTGTGAAACGCTGCTTGTCCCTTTTCCATCTCTGAATCTTTGTTTCAGCTTTTCCAGGAGTGTGCATGCTTACGTGCAGACAGAGCAGTATAACCTCAGTCTTTAGTAAGACAACTAAAGATTACTTTGTGAAAGTCAGCTCGAGGGCCACCAGCTCGGTACAGTAACGAGCTACCTGCTACCAAGCTTGGCAACCTGAGTTTGATCTGCAGAGCCCACGCCGTGAAAGGAGAGACCACCTCTCTCCAACGGTCCTCTGATCTCCACATGTGGAGGTCTGTGGTATGCGTTCTTGCACAGACATACACATAGGGCAATTAAGATGTTTAAAAATAAGATTTTTTTTACTATCAAGGCGATGCTGGCTGTGCCCATCACAACAGAAATAATATTTGTGAACAATAAATGATAATGAACCCAAGTTCTGCCCTGAGGCTTCACATCCATAAAGAAAGAATAAGAAAGCCTTCCTTCACTGATTTCCTTTTTGTACTCTGGAAACTTCCAGAGTTATTTGGCCTTTTGGTTTATTTCCTTCACCTCCAACAAACCCTAAAAGGATCTCACTGGGCAGCCCAGCCTGGACTTAGAATTATGCTTCTCTGGCCCCAGGCTCTTGGATGCTGGGTTACACGTATGCGCCACACCCGGCTTAACTTTTATTTTTAAATGCTGGATCTTTACATTTTAATGACCTCTGGAGTCAGAGTGCTGAGTTTGCATCCTGACTGTTCAGTTTTCTAGTTCAGCTTTCTGGCATCGGCCTCAGTTTTCCTCTTGTAAAATGGGAGCTCCTGTCCATTCCCTGCTGATTTGTAGGACTTGACAAGCTCCTGGTGATATGCCTATGACTCTGAGCTTGTGACAATGATCAGTACTTGTAATAAGGATTAAAAACAGGCACAGGTAGACAGTCAGGAGGACAAGAAGCCTTATCACTGTATTTGAGGTCCCACGCAGTGTGACCCGAAGCATGAAAGGAGGAGCTGCCTTCAAAGGGGCTGCCACATAGGGGCCACTGGCCAGGACTCACAGGCCTAGACCAGGCGTGGCTAAGGGAGGCACAGCAGGTCAGGACTGACACAGCATTTCCCTGCCTTCTCTTCCCTCGTGCTGGGATTACCGGGGTTCACTGCCACACCTTTGGTCTTTGTTTTTGGTGCCCCATATTCCTTTTACTTTTCTTCTTCCATTGCTGTCTTTTGTGCTACACATTTTCTTACGTACGCCTTTAACTATTACTTCTTTTATTACATTTTAGTGATTTTTCTTAGTGATTTTCTTGAGGGTTCTAATTAACATTCTAATTTATAGTAATCTAACTAAGATTAACTTAATAATTAACTTAACTAATAACTTAATTGAGATACCAACACAGTCTCAATAACATGCAAAAATGTTGCTCTTTGCCCTTCCTCCTCATTTTATAAACTGTGACTGTTTGGTAGTGAAATTTGGTAATGAATGTATTTATTGATCTACATAGTTGTTTTTCAATAAAATAATTACAAAAAAATCTAGTACATAAGGTTTAAATTTACCTACTCTATTACTTATTCTATTGCTGCTCTTTTTTTCTCATTAATTCAAGTCATTTTTGGGGACCACTGACTTCATTGTGAAAAATTCACATTGGTAATTACTAAAGGGCAGGTTGCTGTGTGATTCATTCTCTCCATTTTTATTCCTTCATACGCACAGTAAGACAACAATGACAAGAATAAACCTGAGAGGCTTGGATCAGACACCCACAAAGATAACTTAATTTTTATTTCAAGTATAAAGTTTGGAATGGTGGGTAACCATCATCTGAACAGAGGATTATGAATCATATAATTTGCGATGAAAGCAAAGAATAATGGTGATTCCACAAAAAGCAGGAATTTTTTTCTGTTTTGTTAATAGATATCATTCTAGTACCCAGCACACGGGAGCCTCACGTATAGCTGATGACTAAGTTAAGGAGACTTAGACTAAAGCAGGGTTGGTGGGAGGGTCAAAACATTAGCTCTGAGATTTGGTTAAGACGTTCATAAAGCCTATGGGAGGGTGATGAGCTTGTAAATTGGTAACGCCTACTTTAAAAATAGAACATTGTTCTGCTGGCTATTGCAGTGATATAGCTCCCTCTGACTCTTACATGTTCTGTAAGCTCCTGGAGGTAGGACAGTTTACCGCATCTCACTGAGCGCTTCTTTCTCACTCTACAAGCCTCACTGCGTGCCTGGGTTCTGGGTAAACAGTGTGAATAGCTGAGCAGACGTTTGTAACCACTGTTGGTTCCTGCGGCAGAACAAACGCTTGAAGGAGGAACAGAAGTGGCACATAAAGAACCTGCTGAAAGAACTGAGCGAGGAGCAGGCAGAAAGAATACCAGCCGTGACGAGAGAGGATGTGGAAGAGGCAATGAAGGAAAAGTGGAAGTTTGAAAGAGACCACGAGGCCAACTTGAGAAGTGAGTGAGGAACTTGGGAAACTGTAACAAATACTGTATTGTTTGTGAGTTAATGCCTTTGTCTTCCAATGTGTTCAAAATGTTGTGACTGTGTTTCAGATTAGATGATATCTACCACAGCCACAGTCTACACAGGTAGAAAAGCAGGAGCGGGAGTCAGTGACGGGAGCAGAGGCACAGGAGCCAAGTGAGGAGGAGGAGGAATAGGGCCATGAACCTCCACTGCCCCTGAGCCCTGATGATGTCCTGTTAAACACTCTGAACTCTTCCGAGGGCAGTGTTCTTTTTTGTAAGGTTCTGTTGTGGAAGGGCTCCACTGACCTTTGCTTTAGATTTGGGCATGATAAAGTAAATAAAATCATGAACGCCCCTCCCCCAATCTAATGGATCTAACCCCCCTTGTTGGATTGGAGAAAGAGAGGTTAGAATTGGGAAAGGGGAATTGGGAAAACGATTATAGGGACAGCTTACTCTTACCACAGGGAACACGTGAGCCTCCCGGTAACTCAGACTTGTGCAGTTGTGCTATGTGCGTTTTTTATTTATGTTCCTTCATCCTACAGTTCTAACATTTCCAAAGACACCTTGTTTTACAAGGTCCCTTGGGTTGGGAATGACATCACAAAGGAAGCCCAAGTGCTCTGGCTAAATTACTTTTTGGCCATGGCTCCTGTTGAGGTGCCCCTGTTAGCAGGCTGGGCCTGAATACAAGGATGCTGTGCTATCTTAGGGTTTTTGTTGCTGTGATAAAACATGATGACCAAAAGCAGCTTGGGGAGGAAAATGTTTATCTTAGCTTATACCTCTTAGATCACAGTCTACATTCGAAGGAACTCAGAGCAGGAACTAGAACAGAAGCCATGGAGAAGCACTTTTCACTGACTTTCCCCTCATGGCTTACTCCTCCTGCCTTCTCATACCACTCAGGACCACTGGTGACATTAGCCACAGTAGGCTGGGCCTTTCCACATCAACCAACAATCAAGAAAAAGCACCAGGGCTTTCCCAGGTCAATCTGGTGGGAGCATCTCCTCAACTGAGGTTGTGCTTCCAACATGACTCTAGGCTGTGTCAAGTTGACACAAAAAACAGGCATGATACATACTGAACAGGCATGGAGTCAGATGACCTAATGGAGGGTAGGTCAGGACTTGTGAAACTTCCAAAGAAGAAGAAATTCCACAGAGACTGAGGAAGAGAGGGAAAGTGAGACAGTAGCTGCACAGGGAAGAGCTGCTAAGATGGTTACCTGCAGTCAGGCAGTCCCTTGTAACTAGTTTTGGGTCAGAACAGACTCTAGCTCGGGGGCGGGTGGGGGCTTCTTAGAACTGGAGTCTCTCAGGTCCTGCCCAGGCTGAATCTTTTTTATAAGCTCCAGGGGATTTCTGGTGCATGGAAAGATCTGAAATGTACTGCCAGAGACTTGGCCTCCCAGCTTTTAGCTAGAACACATCCAAGTGGATAAAAACCCAACTGGAGCTGAGTATCTTTCATAGTAGCAAACCACAGAAAGGGCAAAACACCGCCTGACTGTATCCAGGACTTCTTGTCTATCAGCTCTCAGATTCTCCTTTAAACTCTGTATATGTATGCATTTATTATTAGAAAGAAAGTCAAAGCCAGCAGGTATGTCTCTTTCTCTTTCTTTCCCCTCTCTCTCTCTCTCTCTCTCTCTCTCTCTCTCTTTCTCTCTCTCTCTAAAGCTTCAATGACATCTATCAATCCTCCCCTCAAGGGCTCAAACATAGCAGTCCGACAAATGAGGGGACAGTTGCCTATCTGGTGTTCATAACTGTTTAAGCCTCATTTAGGGGACTGTGTGGTCGTATATCTTTGGGTGGCTAGGCAAACCATGCCGAGGGTCCTTTAGATCTCTGGGTTGAAGGCTATTCCTTCAGTAAAAATTTACCAAGCCAACCAGCTAATTTCAGCGTCTAAGAAGGCTGGATTTACAGGGATGATTTGTATAGTGTCGCCTTCAAGGGACTTTCAAACCAGGTAGTGTGAGGGCTAAACCAGGCTATTGTGAGCGTCACTGTACTCAGCTCTGAGCCCTGCTTTATGTTTAAAGACATTCAGCAATATTATTCTTGGGCTTATGAACTGAATAAAACATCACGCTCAGCAATTGCACCAGGGCAGGTGAAAAATGACGTGTTTGAAATAGCTTGATATTTGTGCATCTTTAATCAGAGAACTCATCTTTCACTGGCAGAGTCTCACAAGGTGGGAGAATAAGGACGTGCTTCTGACTGTCGGAATGCTATCATTTCCCAAAGAAAAGTCAAAAACTGAACATTTGACGGCTGAATCAAGCAATTGGCTAATAAAAATGATTGGCAACGTTAAGCATGGCGGCATGTCCGTAATCCCAGCACTTATAAGGGGGAACAGGGAGAATCAGAAGTTCAAGGTCATCCTCTGCAAAGGACTTGAAAAGGAACATAGGTTGAAATCATGTTTGCTCAGAGGTTTAATGACTAGAAAAAAGCCACTCTACGTAAGAAATTGTAGCAGGGTGGAGAGCTGGCTCGGCAGTTAAGAGCACTGCCCGTTTTTGCAGAGGACTCAGATTTAGCTCCCAGCACCTACACGGTGGCTTACAACCATCCATAATTGCGGTCCCAGAGGATCGGATGCCGTTTCTGGCTTCTTCGACTACCAGGTATACATGTTGAAGTGGTCTGAATAGGTATGGCCCCCATGGATTCATGTCTGAGTGCTTGGCCATAGGGAGTGGCGTTATTAGGAGGTGTGGCCTTACTGGAGTAGGTGTGGCCTTGTTGGAGGAAGTGTGGTGGTGGGCTTTGGGGTCTTCTACGCTTAAGCTCCGCCCAGTGTAGAATTCCAGTCTCCTCCTGGCTGCCTGTGGAAGGCAGTCCCCTTCTGCTGCCCATGGATCAGGATGCGGAACTCTTGGCTCCTCCAACACCATGTCTGCCTGCACACAGCCATGCTTCCCACCAGGATGCTAATGGGCTACACCTCTGAAACTGTGAGCCAGTCACAGTTAAATGTTTACCCTTCTAAGAGTCGCCTTATTGGTTACCATGTCTCTTCACAGCAATAAAACCCTAACTATGACACATCCCATGCACATACATGCAGGCAAAATACCCATACACATAAAATTAAAATAAATTCGTTTTTACAAAGATTTCATAAGATAGAGAAAATTGGGCAAATAGGGACCCTTATGAAACAATGATAGATTTAAGTTTGTGGGTTCCTAGATAAATGTATATAATCTTTCAAGTACATAGTTCAAACCCATGTATCAACTTTAGGGTTGAAAGTTTAATTGTACTTAAGATTTATGAGGGATCTCTAATCATTTTTACAGTTTAACCTTCCCAAAATTGCATATATAGTATGTATGCGTTAATTGCATTTTAGCAGCAGACCTTAACTTTGTGAAAACAAGACTGTGCTACGGAATGGCTCCGAGGATGTCGGAAGTGACCATGGGCCTTGTTTTTCTTCCTACAGCAATGCGCACACAAATAAATAACACTGAGAAGCGATTTCTTGAAAAGCTCAGTGAAAAGGAATACTGGGAAGAGTACAAGAATGTAGGGAGTGCACAGCATGCTGAGCTCATCGTTTCCTTACAGAGCGACATCGACAAGGTTAAAGAAAACGCAGAGAAAATGTCAGGTCGGTTGAAACAGTTCAAGTTCAATAAAATGAAAAGCCAGGGCACCCTTCAAATTATTTCTTATCAAAACAGGACAATCAGCTGTGAGCACACAGAAACCAGAGTCTGTGCTTGAGGTGGGGGTGGTGGGGGTGGTGGGGGTGAGGGGGGGGCGGCATTGAGGACCAAGGGCCAAAGGAAAATTTGTTATCAGTTGGAATGGACAGTGCGTTCCCTGCCTCAAAGGACTACAGATGCAGTACCATAGCAAACGGGGGAGGCAGTCTCCTGAGGAACCTATACAGACACTCCCATGACAGGAGAGTCAGCCTTGAGTCCTCATGAGATCAGGGATTGGACAAGAGACACGATCAGCCAAACGAGTAAGAGACAAAGCACAGACACACACACACACACACACCCCCAGACACTGGATGAGAGAACCGAAGCAGAGCCAAAAACAACGAGAAGGGAAAATGCTGCCCACGAGTGTCAGCCTGCGCGGTTTGGGGTTAACTTCTCTGAAGTGAGCACCTTAGACTGGACACCTAAACAGCCAAGGATCTTGAAGCACAAACTCCCCATCTCCCAGGTGCCTACTTGTAGTGGCTTAGACTTCTCCAAGATTTCTACCCCTGCTTTCCTGGGTTGCCTTCAACACATGAATGCTTAGTAAGTGTCAGAGCTACAGAAAGTACTAACTGAATCACAAAGGGCGGCCATGAGATTTTCACAATAGCCTTGGTGCTGTGCACTCCACTGTGGTTTTTTAAGAAAAATCAACCATAGCATGCCACATGGAATTTAGAAAGTAAAACGTTAATGTCACTTTTTCAGTATTAACACAGCGGTGGAGCTAGATGAGAATTTATTGTTATCCACTTTGGGTAATTTACAGCAAAGGATTAACCTGTTATCCAATTCCAGGTTTTATGATCTTTTTCCGATGCTAAGAATGAAAAAGTGATTACAGCTGAAGTTCTGACCCACAGCAGCTTTTAGGTGATTGTGTTATACAAATAATTGATTGATTGATTGATTGGGTATACAAATAATTAGCATTAACTTTTCGGGCCAGGGCCTGAATCAAAGAAATTCCATCAGCTGGACTGGAAGGGTTGAACAGTCATGATACTCCTGATGAAGTGAGGAAAGGACAGGCCGTGGATGGGCATCAGCTGTCTAGAGTGCCACAGGCCCAGTTCCTCCCTTTCCAGACGGCAAGCTAGACGAGTTCCCCGGAGCAGCTTAACTCTCTCCCGTATGCCTAACGCAATCCTATTTAAGTCCATCAGAGGCTGTTTCCTGACCCTGTCCTCCGGGGTGAGCGGTCCTCTCTTACTGCTTCCTTTCCCCTCTCTACCCGACGAACTCTTGGCGGCCACAACCCAGGTGCCGAAGCCCCTGACAACTGCCCACCAATGGCTGGCAGTTTGCCACATTCAGTGTTCTCCAAAATGTTTGGTTTTTTTTTTTTTTTTTCAAAATGTATTGTGCTCAGGGAAACAGTAATAACTAAGGTCCTTTTACTTTCCGCTGTCTCCACCTAGCAGGGGAAAGTGCTGTACAAAGGCCAGGTGCAGAAGAGGGCCGAGTGGCCTGCTGAGAGCCCTGGTCCCCTAGCATCCTTACTTTGGCTGTTGTAGAACTAGATTCACCATTTCTGTCCCATCAGACCAAGATTCCAGAGTTCTGCCTTAGCTGCCGTGGTCTGTTAAGAAAATGTCCCTGATTTCGCAGGGTCCCGCCCCTAGACAAAGAACTCAGGCAACAGTTGGTGCTGGGGGAGAATTAGCAAATCCCAGGATGAACCCCCTTAATTGGTTGCTCAATGCAGAGCGGCCAGCCTTGAAACCATATACACACCACCAAGAAAATGTACTCAGCAGGTTCTTTTTATATGTATTTGGACGTGTGTGTATGTATAAAACAAATTCAATCAAGGAAAAAGAGGCTATCGATTTAAGAGTTAGGGTTTGAGAGGCTCTGAGGAGGATAAATGGGAAGGGCTTGAGGAAGAAAAAGAAAGGAGGAAGTGGTGTAATTCTATTACAATTTAAAACATTAAAAAATAAAATAAAATTACCTGAGGGTAAAAAGATCATGTAGGATTCAAAAAACTTAAATTTGTTATATTTCGCTGGAATACTATTTTTTTTTTCCAGAGATAAATACTTCACGTGGAACAACTACTTAAAAAAAAAAAAAAAAGCACATTTTCCCCCTTGAAACAGAGCCCTGAATGGCAGTTAGGGTCCACAGCAGTCTTAGCGTGGTATTTCTGGTTAGTTAGAGAATAAGGTAAATAAGGCCTTGTGGACCTTTCGAAATATCTAGCAGACATGATTTTCAGTATCACATAATCATCTTGCATATGGCATAACGAAAAACAACTGATGGGGATATATGTCATAGATGCTATGATTGAAAACCAACTTTGGCTACTGTCACATTAAACTTTTGAAGAAGTACAGGTCCCTCATTGCTGACTATATGACCTTGGATAGACTCTGCTTGAAGATTCCCTTTTATGTGAAATAGAGGGTTTGACTTTATCACACACATCTGAAATTTCCTTACGTGAAGTCTGGCTTCCCCCAGAGAAGCATGTGCTGAAGGGCAGACATCTTTGTCTGGTTTAATCAGCAGCATTCGGTGTCTTCAACAGCATCTTGATAAAGAACTTGAACTGTTCAGCAGAGCGGAGCAAGCCTGCCACCTTTCCTCAGCTTGCTTTCTCTTCTGAAGACACCTACGCCATTGTGCTCCATTTCCTTTCCAAGGAGCATTGGTTATATGAGCCCTAGGAACCTTTTACAGCTCAAACTCTTTATCTTTGCTCTATCACTAATGATATTTATAGGCATAAAAAATGTAAAAAGAGGATTGGGGAAATGGCCCAGTGGGTAAAGGTCATTGCCACACAAACCTGGGACCTGATTTTGATACCTAGAACTCGCTTAAAACCCCGATGCTGAAGAAAGAAAAAAGAAAAAAAAAAAAAAAGGAATGCTGAGCTGGTGCCTGTAATCCCAGCACTCAGGGAGGCAGAGGCAGGTGGATGTCTGTGAGCTCGAGGCCAACCTGGCCTACAAATGGAGTCCAGGACAGCCCAAGCTACACAGAGAAACCCTGTCTAAAAAAACCAAAAACCAAAACCAAACAACAACAACCTGATAATGTAGCATACATTTGTAATCCTGGTGCTCTTACTGGGAGAGGGGAGGCTGAGACAGGAGGATTGCCTCCTATACATAGTGGTAGATGCAAAAGACTTGCTTCAAAAACAAAATGACAGTATATCAATGCCCCAAGAGTTACCCTCTGAGATCCACACGTGTGCTGTGGCATGTATACCTATCCACACACAAATCTTTTTTTTTTTTTTTTTAAGAAAGAAAACTGAGAGGATGGGAGCCCTGGACGTAATCTCTGCCCCCCTGCCTTGTCAGGTGCTCAGAGCAGGCTCAGGTCTGCCGCCTCCAGGGGCCTCTCCCTCCCCTCATTGTGTCTTCCTTGCACAGGGAACCCCGTACCAGGAACACTGGCGATCTAGTTAGGTGGAGTCCAATGTCCACAGTGATGCTGTGAAATCCTAACCTGGGTGAGGCAAAGGAGAGAGGCTATGCAAGTATTATTCCAGATTCTTCCTCTGGAGAGAGGAGCCTTTGAAACATTTTTGAAGACCTTAAACTACTTCAGACTAAGATGTTAGCAAATTATTGGAGCGTTTCTTCTGATTAGCGGAACTAGATGTTCCAGAAAAATATGTTCTTGAGAATTCTAGGGCGGAGTGAGAAGTATGTAGAAAAGAGGGAGAGGGTCATGAAAAGTCACATTTATAAGCATCACAGTTTTATCTCAGAACAGCCCGCACTAAAGCTTGTGATTTCTTCTTAAAGAACAGTATAAAATCACTCTGGAAGATACTAGAAAGAAAATAATCAGAGAAACATTGCACCAACTAGACCAAAAGAAGGAATGGGCCACACAGGTACGTGTCAATTCTCTTAAAGCAAAATTCTCCCCTATTCTTTCATGGAGTTTATCACGCCTACAAGCCCAACGTTCCGAAAGCTGAGGCAGGAGGATCATGATCTAAATAGCCAGAGCCTGTCTCAGGAAGAAAGCAGAGAGGGTAGGGTGTAGGTGAGGGATAGGGCACTTGCCTAGCAGGTGGTATTGATTCACAGCACCACAAATATAAAAACACTATCAAACCAAACAAGAGGCCTTCCTTGTGCAGGCCCGGCGCTTACAAGCCAGGACTGGATTCGTTACTTCATTTTCCTTCCCTTCTGCTTTCTAACGTATAGAACAGAGACCATTATATTGCCCTTGAAGATACAGTGCAAAAATTAAATAAGATTAAATAATATCTTATTTCATAAGAGGCAAAGTAAATTACTATTCAGTTATTTTAACAGGATCATGTGGCTATAGTGAAATATTAAGAATAAATGTTTTGAGTAAAATATAATTTGTCTAAAAGATATTTCTTACATATCTACATCTGGGAGAATACACTCTACATTTCTGTGTTTTTTAAATGTTGGGCCACAAAGCCAAGTGTGCTAGCCTAAATTCCAGCGCTTGGGGTGCAGGAGCAAGTGAATTTCTGTGAGTTCGAGCCCAGCCTGGTCTACACATCAAGTTCTAAGACAGCTAGGGCTACAGAGACATATCTCAAAAAAAGAAAAAACTGGGGGGGGGGGGGCTACAAATCATGTCTCAAGATGAAATTCACAGTCACTCTATTTTCTCATCACTTTGTCTTACACACAATGTCTAACTCCACACACACACACACACACACACACACACACACACACACACACACACACAGTTCTTCCCCTGTATGGTGACTATTTCCTAAATCAGTAAAGGGAATTCCTGTTTAAAGCACACCCAGTCTTTGGAGCCCTAGGCTTCTGATAGTTGTAAGAGACCTGTCAGCAGCTCATCTGCGATGCGCAGGCGTCCCCACTGGTTCCATCGCTTCTCGGTGTCACTCTATCCTCCTGACAGCCACAGGTGTACAAAGACACAGAGGTCATGGGAACCATCACTGGTTTGTCTGTTCCTGGGTCGCTTGTGGCCAAGTCTTACTAAATGGTGAAATCCATCATGAAGTGATCTGAGCATAGTTTAAATAAATGGAAATGTCTATGTGATATTGTTCAGATGATATTTTGTTGGGGGGAACGGAAGTGGATAAAGAGATGGCTCAGCTGTTAAAAAGCACTCGTTGCTCTTACAGGAGACCTGGGATGGATTCCAGCACCCACATCATAGCTCACTCCAATTCCAGGGGATTCTATATGCTCTTCTAACCTCCTTTGGTACCAGATATCCATGTAGACAAAACACCTGTACACATAAAATAAATAATATACAACATTAATGATATTTTATGGTGGTAGAAATGCAAGTATTTAGCTATAGCTGGAATATAAACTTTCCTAGGGAATGTATGCCTTCTCTTAATTTAATAAATATGATCTAAAGTTTTTTTCATTGAAAATCTTCCACTTTAAAAGACTTTAATCAATTTAAGCCTTCAATCGTAATTCAATTTATCTTTGACATACTATTAAACTGTTTCTGTCCATGTTTACAATGTAGACTATTTTTTCTTATGAGTGTACAAGCTCTTGCGTGTTGGCACAGATGTGTGTACAAGGCATGTGGAGGCCAGGGGCCAGCCTCTGGTGCTTTTCCTCAGGAGCTGTCTACCAAACTCCCACTGGCCTGGAGCTCACTGAGTGTGTTGGGCTGTGTGGCCAGTGAGCCCCGGGAAGCTTCACTCGTCTCTGTCTCCCCAGCACGGGGATGGCAGCAAGCTACTGTGTCCAACTTTTACCCACTAAGCCATCTCGCACACATGTCTGGTTTTTTCACATGAGTGCTGTGAAATGAACTCAGATCCTCATGCCTGCACTGCAAGCACTGACCAATTGGGCTATTTCACCAGCCTCTGTTTCTTTTGGTTTGGTTGGTTAGTTTTTTGTTTGTTTGCTAAGTTCTCTCAGCTTCTCTCCTTCTAAGAAGTTTCATCTTGGGTTGGAGAGTTGGCTCAGTGGTTAGGTATACTTTTGGTTCTTCCAGAGGACCTAGGTTCAATTCCCAACATCCACAAGACAGCTCATAGCCACCTGTGACTTCAGTCCCAAGTTATTTGATGTCTTCTTTGGACCTCTGAGGGCATCATAAAATAGATAAATCTAAAAAAAAAATTCTTTTTTAAAAAGAAATTTTTTAAAAATTAAAAAATAATTTCTTTTTAAAAGGTTTTGTCTTTTAGTAACGAATATTGGATTTGAAACACAAAATTCATATGAAATCATCTCACTAAGAAATACATACAGTGTTATCCATTATTAAAGTCTTATGGGTAAGACTGTAACTATCAGGACAAGGATATGGTTCAAAACAGAATTAAAATGAAGGTGGAGAGCAAGCCCGCCCCACCAGGGCTGACACTGTGTGTCACCTATGACAACTCTTCTCTTTCAGAACGCTGTGGGGTACATTGACAGGAGCAACTATCGAGAGATCTGGGAGAATGACTGGCTAAAAAAAGAAGTAAGTAGAATGCATCAAAATCACTCTTTTTTTTTTTAATTGGCAATGATCTTTAATTACAGAGTTGAAGTCATAGGAAAAGCATAGAGTTTTTAACTGACGTAAAGAAATGTCTACCTCCTCCATTGCTGGTGGGAGTGCAAACTTGTACAAACACTTTGGAAATCAATCTGGCGCTTTCTCAGAAAACTGGGAGTACCACTACTCAAGATCCAGCTATACCACTCCTGGGCATATACCCAAAAGATGCCCCACCATTCAATAAGGACATTTGCTCCACTACGTTCACAGCAGTTTTGTTTGTAATAGCCAGAATCTGGAAACAACTGAAATGTCCCTCAATAGAGGAATGGATACAGAAATTGTGGTACATCTACACAATGGAATAGTACTCAGCTATTAAAAACAAGGAAATCATGAAATTTTCAGACAAATGGATGGAAACAGAAGAGATCATCCTGAGTGAGGTAACCCAGAAAAGACAGGCTTAGTATACACTCACTTATATATATACACTTATATATATACACTCACTTATATAATACAGATATTAGCTGTATAATATAGGACAGCCATCTACAGACCTGAAGAAGCTAAACACTAAGGAGGACCCTAGGGAGGATGCTTAAATCCCATTCACAATGGCAAACAGGATAGACAACAGAAGCAGTAGAAGAGAGGAAACAGGACGGGAACCTCCTATAGAGGGTCCTCTGAAAGGATTCACCCAACAGGGGTTTCAAAGCAGATGCTGAAACTCAAGGCCAAGCTTTGGGCAGACTCCATAAGGGAGTCTTATGGAGGAAGAAAGGGGTGGGAATAGAGGGACATGGAGGGGACAGTAGCCCCACAAGGAGACCAACAAAACTAAAAGATCTGTAGGACCAGGGGGTCCTGCAGAGACTGGTGCACCAACAGAGGTCCATGCATGGAGAGGACCTAGACTCCCTGCTCAGATGTGGCCAATTGGAAGCTGAGTCTCCATGTGAATCTGAGTGAGGGGAGCAGGGGCTGCCTCTGTCATGAACTCAGTTGACTGCTCTTTGATCACTCACCCCTGATGATGCAGCCTTGACAGGCCATGGAGGAAGAGGATCCAGGCAGTCCTGATGAGCTTAACAAGCTATGGGCAGATGGCAACAGTAGAGAACTCCCCTTTTCAGTGGACTAGGGAAAGGGGATGAAGGGAAAAGGGAGGGAGGGTGGGACTGGGGGAGTTGATTGAGAGGCTTCAATCGGGATAATATATAATGAATAAATTGTGAAGAAAAAAAATTTAAAAGAAATGTCTAAGACAAGACCTAATTCTGTTGTATTGTTACCCAACAAATGGCATAAATAATCTCAATAATAGCCAGAAATAATGTGGGGGCTTAATCTACACCTTACAGTCAAATGGGCCAAGTTTCTTTGTGCCCTATAACCAAGCTAGTGTTTCTCATGAGCCTGCCTCTTGCTTGGTGGTTGGCAAGGCTAAAGGATCATTTCAGCCCTTGATTTAAATTACCCTCTGGTAATTTACCATCATCCCTGAAACGTGCTCAACCTTTTAGACGTCTTTTCCTGGAGGAAGCTCTCTGGTCTTCTCTCTATACTGGTAACTCCTGATCTAATCTGTATGCTATTGTGTTGTGGGCCACAGCAAACCCACAGTGCAGCCATTTGCCTGTGATCAAGATGGCCTTGCAGCACCTTTGTCTCTCTCCACCCTGATCCCCTCACATCTGTACAAGAACTCATGGGAGCTGCGGAGCCAGGAGCGGCTCCCTAGGCCAGGGCTATATGGGGTTTTCTGGGTGTGGTCATATAAAGACTTCCGTAGTTCTATAGTAGGACCACTCACATTCTACACTCTCCTTGTCTTAATCTGAACAGTCTTTGTTATTGGGAACTGTCCTGTTTTCTCGCATCGTACAGGTAGGTTGCTGTCCTGATCTCTAGGCCATCCTTACTCTCGTTAGCTGGAAAACGCTAACTCTGCCTTTAGGTGCCAGCTTTGACGAGCAGTTTCCTCATGGACCACTTCATAATGCTCTCCTGGCATCCTGAGAACTCCCATCCCAGTGTTTTCTTGCATTGCTGAATTCTTGCTAAAATACATTAAAACCCTGTTCATAACCTGTGTCCTTAATACCCACAGCAGGGTATATCTTTTTAACTGTATGTCTACAGTACCTGAAAAATAATCTTTGCTTATCAAAAGGAGCTAGTAAATGAATGAATGTTAAGGAATGTCTGTGAACATACATATACTTACTCACTAAGGGGATGAATCATACACACACACATATTTTGGTTTAGAGGCAGTTATATTAAACTATGAATTACATTGTGGCTCAAGATGGCAGACTGCATCTTGTTTCTCCTAAAGGCCTTCTAAAACAAGATTACAGAAATACAATAAAGAGCTCATCTGCAAAGATAACAGGTGCAGTGAGTTCACAGGTGAGATTTCAGTGATTTCCTGACAAACAGATGTGCAAGCAAGCCGCTGGGTGAAACTGGCAGAAACCTTTGGTCCAGCTGTTGTAAGTGTGCTCTACAGAAAGTGCTGTTTGGGAAGCCTGGGGAGCCTCTGCTCAGAGTCTGTGTGCGCTGTGGATGGTAGGGATGGAAGAGAAGCAGAGAACTAGAACTTGCCACCGTCTGCGTCAGTAAAAACCCCGGGGGCCTGGTGACTTTTCTTCACACAGAACAAAGCAGTTATCCTCAGCCTAGAAACCCGCAGGCTCTCCCCCAAGAGCACTGGAACCATCGATACACATCTAGCACAGATGTGAGACATTTATGTGCAAAAAAATTATGTTTCCAATTGTGGCATTCATGAGGCCACAGTCTAAATATCCTGCCCCTGCTTTCTCATCCAAAATATTTCTCCAGCTCTGACATGCCATATTTACAGATTTCAGTCTACTCTTTGATTCAGAGGAGAAACTTGGAATGAAAACAGTCCTGTTTACACGGTGATAGGGAAATACCACATCCCGTAAGCCCTTCCTAATATGACTACATAATGGATTACTAAGGACAGTTAGACATATTGAAGAGGAAAACCCAGGTAAACTGAAGACAGTAGAAGCAAGAACTAATAATCAAATCTGCCCCTTGAAGATGCTGAAAGGAAATTCAGGAAATTAAAAAAGGGCTATTACTAATATAAAAAAAAATGAGTGCCAGTTTATTTAGAAAACAGGACCCTTCAAAAAAAAAAAACAAATATAAAATAGGATGCAGCATGCACTCTCTCGGGGCAGGGAAAGACGCATCACTAATGCAAGAGACACAGCATTCAAAAAAGACTAATTCTAAAAAGATAAAAGCAGAAAGGATCATCATGGAAGCAGTAGAAGAAAACTCCCTGGTGGATGAAAAGGGCAAACAAAAGAAGGCAGGACGGTGAGCAGTATGCTGTCAGTGATGACGTCCAGGTGGAGAATGTTTTTGAACTTGGAACTGTATACTCCACTCAACTAAATTAATGGGGGGAGGAGGGAACTATTCCCAGAATTGCAAGGGCTGTGATATTTACTCCTCAATCATCCCCAGGAATTTATTTAACATCAAACTTAACAACACAAGCTAGTATACCGAGCGAGACAGGAAATGCCGGCTTCCCCAAAACTCCAGAGAAGAGATGCCTGAGGATAATTGTGTTACAGGTTTAAAAGGCATCCAGATTGGAAATTATGTCATTCCCAGGTTCCAAACCCACGCACTCATCAGCCAGCTGCAACTGTGTAAGCTCGCCACAGGCCTCTCAGACCCCTGAATTGACAACAGCTGTCTCTTTTCCCTGAATCTGCTTCTGGTCCCCTGCTGTGTCTGTCCTACTTAAGAACCCCACGATTATGCAGTCACCCAAGTTGGGACTTTGGAAGTCCCAAAGAAATGTTTTGTTTTGTTTGTTGGTTGTTGTTGTTTTTCAGTATCCAAATCCAGAAGTCCTCTCTAAGTCCTGTCTTCAACCACTTTGTTTCTCTGCCACCACCCTACTCCAGGCCCACAATAGCCACATCCTTCCCATAAGGCCTTACCTGGTTTTACTTCCTACAAGCCAGACTCTTCCCCTTTCTCCTTCACACAAACTCGGAGACATCATTCTAAAATGTAAACCTGGCAGTGTCATCCTGCAGTGAGTTCAGAGGTTCAAAGGGACATGAGCAATGGTCTCTGGGAGATGTAGGCTGGACACACAAAGTTCCATGTTGACAGGTCTGGAGTCATGATGGTTAATACCTTCAACTTGACAGGATCTAGAGTCATTTAGGAGATATAACCCTGGAAGTCTATAAGGGAGTTTCCAGAGTAGGGTAAATGAGGTGGGAAGGTCCACCCTAACGTGGGCACCATTTCATAGCCTGGTGTCCTAGACTGAGGAGAAAGCAGTGAGAGAACGGAGCGCACCAGCATCCATGCTCTCTCCTCCCTGACTGTCGATAACAATGTGACCAGCAGCTCCATGCACCTGCTACCAGGACTTCCTGGCCACAATACCTTCCAGCCAAACAATGAGCCAAAAAAAGCCCTTTTTAAAGTTGCTTTTGTCAGGGCTCACAGCAACAACAACAAACACAAAAACGTAACCGTATGGGACTCTACCTAGTGGCACGAGAATCACTAAATATCTTACTAACAGGCCTGGGTGTTTCTGAGTTCTGAGTAATACTTCAGGTTTTTCTAGTTCAATCACTCCCAATCCTCAAAATTCCTTCACATTTAGACAAATACCCATCCATTCTGTGTTTGAATTATGTATATGAGACAAAACTCACTATTTTAACAAAAACTTTTTTTTTTTTAATTTTATGTGGGCAAGTGTTTTGCCTGCATGTATGTATAAGCAGTGTGTGTACCTGATTCTTACAGAGTGGCCATAAGAGGGCAGCATATCCCCTGGGACTAGAATTCAAGGGACTAGAATTCCATATTCCCCCCTAAGGGTGCTAGGAACTAAATCTGGGTCCTCTGGAAGAACTGCTCTTAACTGCTAAACCACCTAT